CCCCAAAACCCCAAAACCCCAAAACCCCAAAACCCCAAAACCCCATTCATAGCTTTCTATTTAATAATAATTTGTCATACGATATAGAAATGGCTAGCAATTCTGACTTAGACAAACAAATCGAGCAACTAATGAAATGCGAGTATATCAAGGAGAGTGAGGTCAAAGCTCTTTGCGACAGAGCCAAAGAAATTCTCTCCAATGAGAATAATGTTGTCAAGGTTGAGTCTCCACTCACTATTTGTGGAGATATTCATGGTCAATTTTATGACCTTATGGAGCTCCTGAAGGTCGGTGGAGAATGCCCAGAGACTAATTATCTATTTATGGGTGATTTTGTCGATAGAGGATTTTATAGTGTCGAAACCTTCCTCTTACTCCTTGCGCTAAAGGTGAGATATCCAGATAGAATCACTTTGATTAGAGGTAATCATGAGAGTAGACAAATCACTCAGGTCTATGGGTTTTATGATGAATGCCTCAGAAAATATGGATCAGTCAACGTCTGGAGATACTGCACTGATATTTTTGATTATCTTGCCTTGGCAGCAATTATTGACGATAAAATCTTCTGAGTTCATGGCGGCCTTTCCCCATCAATCAGCACATTAGATGAAATTAAGAATTTAGACAGAAAACAAGAGGTACCTCATGATGGAGCAATGTGAGATTTAATGTGGTCTGACCCTGATGATATCACAGGATGGAGTGTTAGCCCAAGAGGAGCTGGATATCTTTTTGGATCAGACATTGTTGAAACTTTCAATAGAACAAATAGCATCAGCCTAATCTGAAGAGCCCATCAATTGGTAATGGAAGGATATAAAGAAATGTTTAAGGGATCACTTGTTACCGTTTGGTCAGCCCCAAATTATTGTTACAGATGTGGAAATGTTGCAGCAATTTTGGAATTAGATGAAAATCTTCAGACATTCTATAAGATTTTTGAGGCAGCTCCACAAGAAGCAAGAGGAGTTCCAGAGAAGAGATCAGCCCCTGAATATTTCCTTTAATAGATACTAGCCAATAAATAATATTTGAATTAATTATTCTATTTCCGCTTTCCAAAAAGGGGTTTTGGGGTTTTGGGGTTTTGGGGTTTTGGGGTTTTGGGG